CCTTCTGCAGCGACGCCTCCCCCTACGGCATCGGGGTCTGCCGCAAGACCGTCGACCAGGAGGTCGCCGCGGCCGCTGGGCGCTTGTCTGAGAGATGGCGCTATCGGTTCACCGACGCCGTGCACGCCCGTGCCCACGCGCTCGGGATCGAGCCCCGCTCGGCGCTAGAAGCTACCGTGGACAAAAATTGCCTCGAGGAATGCCGCCTCAGTCCGAAGCCTCCTAAGATTTCTGGGGGCCCTCCGTCTACGGCATCATCGTTGCATCAACCAGCTGACGCTGCTCCTCTCGACGGCTTCGATGAGGTTCCCGACTCGATCACGGCTTCCGACGGCTGGGCCACGATACACAGTTCGCGTCATTCAAGGTTCGGCTTGGACATTATGCGATACGAGGCGGAGGCTCTCGGGTTTGCGATGCGACACTCGGCTCGGTCTGGACGGCTTCGTCATCATCGCATTTGGTTCACCGTTGACAATTTGGCTCTAGCTCTTGCCGCTGGCAAGGGCCGTTCTGGCGCCCGAGGCCTCCGCGACCCTCTACGCCGACTATGCGCCCTGTCGGCGGCCACGGGCATCCGCCACGCCATTCGGTGGATCCCCAGTGAGAGCAATGCCGCTGACTCGCCGTCTAGGACAGGCTTCTTCGTCGGGCCGACCTTCGAGGAGCACCAGGCGTTTGCATCCCGAACTTCGAAGGCAGCGGACCACGACACTGGCGGAGCTGAGGACCAGGACCCATCCTGGGCCCGTGCTGCTCGCCCGAGGGGCCCTGTCGGTGCTGGAGACGGCCGCCGTGTCGGACACGACCGTGGCCAATTGCTGGGATGCCGCCAAGAAGTTCGAGGAGTGGTGCCGCTGGACGTCCCAGACGTTCGCCGCGACGGAGGAGGTCGGTGTCATCCTAGTTACGTACTTCGTGAACCGCTTTCTGGACGGCTTCGACAGTGCCACGGGCCGTGTACCCATGCCCGCTCTGAAGCACTACCTGCCCGCGATCCTGGCTGGCAAGACCCCGTGCCCACGGGCGGCCCGCGCCTTGACAGGCTGGCGGAATTTCGTTGTCCCGCTGATGCGACTCTACCTCGGGCGGCGATGGCATCCATCGTGGGCGTCCTGATGGCGTGGAAGCTCTTCGGCGTGACTATGTTCATCAGGCTGATGTTCGACGCCTACCTGAGGCCAAGCGAGGCCCACCGCCTCACGGCGGGGAGCGTGAGACGACCTCGACCCGTGCACGACGAGGGCCCGACCCGCGGCCTTTGGACCTTCGCCCCCGACGCGGTGCGGAGCATGTTCCGTCGAGCAGCAGCCGCCCTCGGTCTGGAGATCGAGTTGATTCCCCACTCGCTTCGTCATGGGGGTGCGTCCGGCGACCTGCTGTCGCTCAGGCGCACGACGAACGAGGTCAAGGACCGCGGCCGCTGGAGGACGGACCAGATCTCTCTCCGCTTCGCGAAGCGGGCCCGCATGCAGCAGCGGATCGCCGACCTAGGCCAGAACATCGTCGAGTTCAACGAGCAGGTGGACTGGCAGAAGAACGACCTCATCCTCCAGACCACGGCCTCGGGCGTCTTCCCACGGCAGGTGTCGCTGGCAGTGACGCCTACGCCGCCTGCTGTCAGGCCGCCGCCCCCACCGATCACTGCACGGTGGGCCTTCGCCTGACGCGCCTGTGGCGCGCTGCCAGGCGGGCTTCTACGAGAAGCAGGCACTGCCCTGCGCTGGTGCTCGGCTGCGACGGAGGGGCGGCCCGCGCCCTGCAGCGGATGGGCACGCAGGTGACGACATCACCGATCCCGCAGTGATGCGGCGCGTGTGGGTGGAACCCGACACCGCCACCTGGCTTCGCCATTCGCCCGCTGTGCGTTCCAAGTTGCATCCTCGCGGCCTCCCGACCTTGACCAACTTTAAAGCTCGATCTGTTTGCATCGCCAACCTTTGCCAGGATCAGCGCTGGCACGTCCTGTCTGAATGATGTGGCAAGAAAGTGCCCGCCATATTGTGCCACCTCGACGCGTCTTTTATATGGGGTGGCCGCGCGTGCACCTCTCTTGTGAGCCAGAGTTCTTCTTCGACAGTTTCGACTCTTGCATGTACTCTGGCCGCGTCAAAAACAGATTTCGACTTGTTGGCTGGAACGTGAAAGATATTGATAGGCTATCCCTGACCTGTTCACCTGTTGCCTCGCCGTGCCGTCGCACTCGCAAGCGACATCTCGGCGAGTTAGGCATCCCATCGTTAGACCGTCAGATGCGCAGCGCTGCGCGCCACCCTCCTGCCTGTATACCACGATGCGCATGTGAAATGATGGCCAACAGTGTCGATAGCCTCCGATACGTCTCCCGACTATCTAGATGTGTGTGAGTTTTCATTCAAGTATTGCGGCTTGCAGCCAGTGTCTTGGACTAGCCATAATACCTGGCGCTGGCCCCTGCGGCATCAGATTTCGTGTCCTCGCCTGGCGCCCTCGTGCACAAAAAGAATCGTCTGGCCACGGAGTAGTCCACATTATGCTGCCCGCGGCTATTTGTGGCTCTCTTTCGGGCCGCGCTTCCATTCTCAAGTCTCTCCCTCCCCCTCTTTGTTCCCAACTCAAGAATGTTTCTTTGGCCTGGTGCTGGCCCCTGCGGCATCAGATTTCGTGTCCTCGCCTGGCGCCCTCGTGCACAAAAAGAATCGTCTGGCCACGGAGTCGTCCACATCATCATCACCTTCATCATCATCACCATCTTCATCACAACTTCAAAATAACACCACCTTCCCCGGGAAAATCGTTGATGATCCCCGCCAGACCCCCGAAGAAATGTATTATCTGGGGGTATAATCATATATGTCTGGGGCGCACGGTTACTTGTTCCGACCGGCGTGCAAGGGCTCGACCTCGCGAGAGTTCTGGCGTGCCGACGCCTTTTTGGCGGGCCCGTCGTGGATTTTGACGGTCCAGTTCTCGCGCGTGCGTCCTTAGGCGCTGTCGGGGCCCTCCTTGTGGCGCCGTCGGGCCGTCTGGGGGGCGCCTTGGGCCGTGCTGAGGCCCAACCGGGCCGTGTTGGGGACTCTCTGGCAATCCTGATGCCCTCGTGGGACCCTTGTGACGGAGGGACGTAAGACTCGAGTTCGCCGGAACGCGGGTTTGCCCACGCTTCTTCACAGGAGTTCGCGTCAAATTTCAAAGTGGGCTTCGTCAGCTTCCTGACGGCCCCGTCTGGCCAACCCGAGTCCTTTGAACCCGAGTCTTACCCTGGCCTCGTTCGGACGTGCGATTTCTGTTATTCGGCGATGGCCATCGAGGAGCATTTTTGGATGATCTTGTGAAAATCCAAGCACGACGTGGAAACATGCACGGGGAATCGACGTCCGAGCGATGGCGAGTTACGCCTCCCCGACACAGGAAGAGCATCCTGGAGCATAAATGCAACCGCACGACATCGAGACATGTACGGGGAATCGACGTCCGAGCGCTGGCGAGTCACGCGCTCCAGACCCCGCTGGCGAGCCACGTTCCCCGCGACGCGGAGCGGGAGAGCCCGTCGCGCAGCGGGGCGCCGCGCCGCCCGCTCCCGCCCGCCGCCGTCAGCATCGTCGTCGACGCCGTCGCCCTCGTCAGAGTTCTGCATCGTCGCCCTCGTCGTCGTCGTCAGCGTCGTCGACGTCGCCCTCGTCGTCGCCCCCGCCCTCCTCATGATCATCACTATTAGCATCACCATCAGCATCATCACCGCCATTACCATCGCCATCAGCATTACCATTAAGTACCATGATCATCATCATCATCATCATCATCATCCTCATCATCATCATCATCATCATCATCATCGTCAGCATTAGTATCAGCATCAGCACCATGATCGTCATCAGCAGCAGCATCACCATCATCATAACCACCATCATCATCAGCAGCATCACCATCATCAGCAGCAGCAGCATTAGCATCAGCATGGCCATCATAATCGTCACCACCATCACCATTACCATCGCCATCACCATCACCATCACCATCACCATCACCATCACCATCACCATCACCATCACCATCACCATCACCGCGCACGATGTGTGTGGATCAGCATCAGCATCCTCATCATCAGCTGCATCATCATCTTCACCAGCGCAATCGTTATCATCAGCAGCATCATCATCATCATTGTCATCGGCAGCTCCATCGATGCCACCGTCATTGTCATCGGGTACTTACTTTTGTACCCCCGTGGGTCATCTATTTGCCCTCGCCGACGGCCGTGGGGCTCTCCCGGGCCGAGGTTTCGGAGCCCTCTTGGCCGTCTCGGGGCTACCTCAGTCGTCGAGGGGCTGTTTGCGAGCCGTTTGGGGCCATCCTGGGGCAGTCTCAGGCCTTCTTCGGTCCTTTCGGCGGCCCTCTTTTGGATATAGCTAGGGCCCCGGGTGAGGGAAGCCGGTTGGGAAACGGGCCACGATGCACAGCATCTTGATTGGAACCACCAAACCATGGTGGCCGTAGTCGGTGTTTCACCGGGGCGAGGGGGACGCCCCCCTGTTCGTACACATCACTAAATCTGGCCCCACAAAACCCAGTCTTGCCAACGCCCGACTCTGGGGCCAGCTTGGGGTTCTCTTGGGGCCGTCTAGGGGCCCCAGGGGTGGCCGTACACGGTGTTTGGGCGATTTCCTGGGCCATTCTCGTTTCAATCTCGTTCTGCAGCAAAGGCGGATTGAACGAGGGAAACGACATCCAAACGAAAACGAATAGCACCGCTTAGGTCGAGCCCTGAGGGGCCCTCTTGGGCCGTCGTGTTGGCACCATCGGTCAAATCACCAGCACCCAGATTCCAATCCACTTCAGGCGCATTCCTACCTCAAGAACCGACATGCTTCTTCTGTGTGATGTTATTTTCTGGGAGGGCCTGGAACCAATCCACTTTGCTCCGCCTTCGTACCTCATGCTTTTAGCTACTTGCTCCGACCGACGTGCAATCACCAGCACCAGCGCCGCCGTCGGCCCAGAGGGCGGCGGCCCGGGGAGAGGCTTCATCCTGGCCTGCAGGGAGCTCTACGCCGCCATCGGCGGCAAGACCGCCGTCAGCACGGTCTTCCGGCGCAGCGCTGGGCGCCCGCGCATGGTGGGGGCGGCTGTCCCTCACCTCTCAAGCAGTGGCGAAGCGTCCTGGCTTTCCTGTAAGCCTATCAATGAATGTTCTAAGAACCTTTTGTGGTCTATACGAAATGTTCTTAGAAAATTCCTGACGGAGACCCTCTTGTTTCAACACATTGGGTTTATGTTATAAGAAGCTGTTTTTGGTTATTTGAACCCTTTTAGGTTCTAAGAACATTTCGTGGTAGACCTATAGGAATCCAGGACGGTCGGTCCCTGCTCAACTCACCCCGCCTCCCAGACCTCCAACGCATTTCTAGGCCTCCCCGATGGGGTCCGAGCAGATGGGGTCGGAGTATCGCGCCGCATCGCCGATGCATCGGCGATGCGGCTCGATGCGGAGCCCGAGTTTCTCCTTGCTGGTTTCGCCTATGTATCGCAGACGTCGCCGATACATCGCAGATGCACCGCCGATGCATTCGCGATGCGCGACGATCCTCCAACCCAATGTGCTCGGAACCCGTCTGGGAGGCTTCTACTCACCTTTCCTCCCAGACCTCCAACGTATTGAAACACCTCAGGCGGTTCCCGCGATTCCCACTATAAAAATCAAGCCGCTCAGAGGAGGAGGAGGAGGAGGAGGGGATCTCTTGGATGCACCCCCAGGGGGCTATGCGGACGCACCCCTGTCGAGCATGGACGTCTCCCTATCGTGTATCCCCGAGGTGTGCTTTGAAATTTTGGTATATTCGGAAAACCCGCGGAGTGTGGGATAGGGGTCGACATATCCCCTGTCAAGAAAATCAGGGCGGCGCTGTTCCTCAGTTTTCGGCCTCCACAGGACGTCGCCAGGTCAGTCGAGACCTCCGGGGGGGTCCAGATTTGTGCAGGCACTCATGACGTCGGCCACCACCTACCAAACCACCCCAGCCCAATCCGAAGGCCCCAATTTGCCCTCAATTCTTGCTGGGGGTGGCGTCGGGGAGCATTGAAGCAAACACACATGGAACCCATACCCCCTTCAACCCGAAAGTTGGGTCTTCGGGTTGGGCTGGGGTGGTCTGGTAGATCGTCAGCCGTGAGCTGGGCATTGAGGTCTCGGGGTTCGATGCCCTCGTCTTTACTCGTCGGGTTCTCGGCGGCGTCTCCGGCCTCGGGATGCCCTCCGGCGGCTGCGCGTCGTCGCCGCGGCGTCCCGGCGCTGCCCGCACGGCCACGGCCCGCCGCCGGAGAGAGCCGACCCACGGCCCGGAAGCCGGGGGGGGGACGCGCAGCTTCGCTATCGGGGCGATCGAGGGGCGATACCTCGCCGATTCCAGCGCGATGCTTCCCCCCCCCCCCCCGAGCCGGTACCCCTCCCCCCTTTGACCCTGTCTCCCATCACCCTCCTCCCGCGTCCCTCCTCCTGGAGCCTCCCACCACTCCCCACTCCTCCGACTTTCCTTTGGGGAGGTTTACGACGGTGCGGTGGCCACATCGTTTGGTGAGTCAGTGACGATTCGGGGGGACCGCACAGTTTTGTTGCGTCTGGGGATTCCAATGTTCCACAACGGTGCGGTGAGTTCCTCGGGGACTTTGAGGTCACGGCACGGTTTGTCACCTCTGGGGCCCACAATCCTTCCATTCCTCTCCTTGGCTCCTTCACCTCCTCCTCTCCTCGTTGCTGCCCCCGACTGCTCTGTTCTGTAGCCAGGCCGTCCTTCTGGCCCCAACCTTTTCTCGTTGCGCCCCCCCCTCTGGCCCATGCCCCATCTCCGCAATCCCCTGATCCCTGAGAAGAAACTAAAACATAAGATGGGCGACGTGGCCTGCCTTTGGCGCCGTCCCGAAGAGGTTGAAGAGTGTCGGCAGGAGGATAGGGGTGAAGCCTAGATGTTCCCCTTCGGTTCATCAGGGTAAGTTTGCATCAAGCGGACGAGACTCGTACCTCCGTCGGATCATTCATAATCAGCATCAAGTCGTCCACGCGTGGCCTATCGAGGCGAACGTGCATGACAGCATGTCGTGCAACCCCAGGGAGGGAGACAGGTGGGGAACATGGAGGGGGAGATGGGATGAGTGAATAAGAGGAGAAGGAGGAGGAGGAGGAGGAGGAGAAAGGAGGAGGAGAGAGGAGAGTGGAGAGAGGAAATGGGAGAGAGAAGCAGAGAGAAGAGGGTCAGGAGGAGCTAGAGGAGGAGCAGAAGCAGGGAGCAAGAGCAGAGGAAAAGGAGGAGAGGCAGAAGCTGGGAACGGAAAGAAAACGAGGGAGGACCAGTGAGAGGAGTAGCAGCATACGATGGGTGTTCTCCCCCAACACTTCTCCATGCCGATCCGTGCGCGTTGCCCGTCGCATTGACGCTCCTTCTACCCTGCGTTCCAATCCCCATCGCTCTTGCCTGCCTGCCTCGTGATCATCCCCTCCTCGCTCTCTGTTCCCATCTGGCCCGAGCCTCTTCGTGCTTCGCTCTGGGGGTCGTGCCCTCTCTGCCTGAGTGTGTGCTTCCGCTCTTCATTGGTTGCCTCGTCTCCTTGGCATCGCTCGGAAGTGGGCATTTCTCTCGGCGAGGGCCTTCGAGGAGCATCTTGCACCGTCCTACGAAGAAAGTGCACGCACGAAGCCGAAACATACACGGGGAGTAGACGTCCGAGCGATGGCAAGTCTCTGTTCTCCCCGCTGCCCCTCAACACTACGACAATTCTCATGGGATCCGTGATGCTTAGGCGTGCCGCATCATTTACGCAAGCGTCGCACTGGATAAATGCATACCCGTCGGTCGTTGAAAGTAGGTATTTCTGGATCTTCATATCCCAATCTACTTTCGGCGCCTTCCTGTTTCAATCATCGAGCGCCTTTTTCCTTTCCCCTCACCTCTAGGGGGCAAGCGGAAGCCAACTCTACTTGCATCGCATTCCTACTTCATGTTTCTACCACTTCTTCTGACCGACGGGTACCCACCCGTCGTTGAAAGTATGTATTTATGTATTCCCATCTTCCAATATATTGCTAAAGCCTTACGGCCAGTGCCGCCGACCCTGGATACCTCGGCCCTCGAGGGTGACGGGATGCGTGATAAGACGTCGGAGGTAAATGAAGACGTGGCGGAGAAGGAGGCGGATGAGGAGGAAAGGGAGGAGGAGGAGGAGGAGGAGCAGGAGCAGGAGCAGCAGCATGAGCAGGAGCAGGAGCAGGAGGAGCAGGGAGGAGCAGGGAGGAGGAGGAGGAGGAGGAGGAGGAGGAGGAGGAGGAGGAGGAGGAGGAGGAGGAGGAGGAGGAGGAGGGAGAGGGGGAGAGGGAGGGAGAGGGTGGCCCAGGGGGATGCGTATCTGTCCCCCTCCCCTCCCCCCCCCCTTCCCTCCCCCCCACTCCCCCCCCGTGGGGAGGGTAGGGAGGGGCTTCGCCACGACCACGATTTCCTTCTGTTTCGTGTTCGATTTCCTTTTATTTAATCGCTTCGCTCATTCCGCCGGCCCATAATGTCGCACCGTGGTCGCCTGTCCGAGTGGTCGTTTGCAGTGTGAAGCTGCGGCGTCGGGAGCCGAACGCGTGGGAGGAGGACCACCCCGACCCGCGTTTCCCAAGTCGCGTCTGGCTGGAGTCTTGGAGGCGTCCTGGGGGCCTCCTGAGGGTTTTTTGGAGGCCTCCAGAGGGCCTTGTGGAGGCCTATTGAGGCCTCTTGAGGGCCTCTTGGGGGCCTCTTGGGGCCTTTGGGGGCGTCTTGGGGCCTCCCGGGGGCCTCTAAGGGCCGAGATCTCGAAATTCTGTTTTGTGAACCCCCTCTTGGGGCGTTCTTGAAGCGTTCTTGGGGCCCTCTTGGGCCGTCTTGGAGGCCTCTTGGGCCGTCTTGGAGCCGTCTTGGGCCATCTTGGAACCCTCTTGGGGGCCTCTTGGGCCCTCTTAGGGGCGATCTTGGAGGCCTCTTGAGCCGTTTAGGGGCGTCGGGGAACCGAAAAGGTTAAAACGCTCAAATCTGTCCAAAACCAAAGGAAAAGCACAGTTTTTCGCCTCTTGGGGCCCTCTTGGGAGTTCTCTTGGCCTCTTGGGGCATCTTGGAGGCTTCTTGGGCCATCTTGGAGACGTCTTGGGCCGTCCGGAGGCCATCTTGGGCGTCGTGGAGCGATATTCGGGCGTCTCGGACCTCCCTTGGACCGTGTTGGGGGCGTTCTTGGGGCCCCCTTGGGCCGTCCTGGAGGCCTCTGGGGCCGTCCTGGAGCCGTCTTGGGCCGTCTTGGGGCCCTCTTGGGGGCCTCTTGGGCCCTCTTGGGGCGATCTTGGAGGCCTCTTGAGCCGTTTAGGGGCGTCGGGGAACCGAAAAGGTTGAAACGCCCAAATCTGTCCAAAACCAAAGGAAAAGCACAGTTTGTCGCCTCTTGGGGCCCTCTTGGGAGTTCTCTTGGAGGCCTCTTGGGGCATCTTGGAGGCTTCTTGGGCCATCTTGGAGACGTCTTGGGCCGTCCGGAGGCCATCTTGGGCGTCGTGGAGCGATATTCGGGCGTCTCGGACCTCTCTTGGACCGTGTTGGGGGCGTTCTTGGGGCCCTCTTGGGCCGTCTTGGAGTCCTCTGGGGCCGTCTTGGAGCCGTCTTGGGCCATCTTGGGGCCCTTTTGAGGGCCTCTTGGGCCCTCTTGGGGCGATCTTGGAGACCTCTTGAGCCGTTTAGGGGCGTCGGGGAACCGAAAAGGTTGAAACGCCCAAATCTGCCTCTTGGGGCCCTCTTGGGAGTGCTCCTGGAGGCCTCTTGGGGCATCTTGGAGGCTTGTTGGGTCATCTTGGAGACCTCTTGGGCCGTCTGGAGGCCATCTTGGGTGCCGTGGAGCGATCTTCGGGCGTCTCGGACCTCTCTTGGATTGTGTTGGGGGCCACTTGGGGCCCTCTTGGGGCGACCCTGGAGGATCTGGGGGAGTGTCCCGGGCACGTCTCGGGCGTGTCCCGGGCGTGTCCCGGGCTCCTCCCGGGGTACTTTTGATCCAGGGACCCCCAGGGGGCGCCCCGCGCGCGCGAACCAGAAATATTGTTTACCAGTTACCGGAGATCTTAGCACGCCTCTGGCCCGTTGGGCCGGCGAATTTCGGGCGACGACGATGACGACGACGACGACGACGACGACGACGACGACGACGACGACGACGACGACGACGGTGATCCACGCAAGGCGACGACACCGGGATGCGTCTTCCACACGCCGACGGGGTCGGAGGATTTTAAACAATTTCCTCCTTCCATAATCGAGTGGCTTCACCTTTTCCGTCCTCCCCAGGGGGCGGACCGAACCCAATCTTTTCGCATCGCATTCCTACTTCATATGTTTCTGCCTCCTCTTCCCACCGACGGGTAGATCACGTTTGGCTGCCCTCTTGCCCTCGTCCCTGTTCTCCTGCACCGGCTCCTCTCGTCTCCCCGCGTCTCGGCGGCGCGCGAGGAGGAGGGGGAGGAGGAGGAGGAGGAGGAGGAGGAGGAGGAGGAGGAGGAGGAGGAGGAGGAGGAGGAGGAGGAGGAGGAGGGGGAGGGGAGGAGCAGGGCGGAGGAGGAGGAGGAGGAGGAGAGCAGCAGCAGGAGCAGGAGCAGAGCAGGGATGAGAGGAGGAGGAGGAGAAGGAAGAGGAGGAGGAGGAGGAGGAGGAGGAGGAGGAGGAGGAGGAGGAGGAGGGGGGGGGCCGGCGGAGAGAGCGGGCCTTTCTCAGAAGCCCCCCCGCTCTCATCGGGCGGCCTCCCGAGCCTCCGAGGCCACACGCTTGCACCGAGGCCTGGGGTCGAGGCCGGCTCGTGGAGGGTACCGATGTTCTCGTGCATCCTGGGGGATGGCACCCTCGAGTGATCTCGTGGCTCGGGGTGATTTGTCACCACCCACCAAACCACCCCAACATAGCCCGAAGGCCTCAATTTAACCCTCCATTTCCAGTGGGGGGTGGGGTCGGGGAACATTGAAAAAACACGTGGAACACGTACCCCCCCCCCCCCCAACCCGAAATTCGTGTCAAATTCGGGTCTTCGGGTTGGGTTGGGGTGGTCTGGTAGGTAGTCAATTTTGCCGGCGGAGGGCCGCGAGTTCTTGCAGGATGCTCGTGCTGTCCCAGGTCCAGCCCTGCAAGGGGGCCGCCGGGAGGGCGGGGGGGGGCTCCCGAGAGGCTGGCCCTCCCCTCTGCCTTCCCCTGCGGGCGCCCCGCCGACCAGAGGAGGAGGAGGAGGAGGAGGAGGAGGAGGAGGAGGAGGAGGAGGAGGAGGAGGAGGAGCAGGAGCAGGAGCAGGAGCAGGAGCAGGAGCAGGAGCAGGAGCAGGAGCAGGAGCAGGAGCAGGAGCAGGAGAAAGAGGAGGAGGGGAGCGCAGGAAAGAGGAGGAGGCGGAGGCGGAGGAGGGGGGGGCGGAGCAGGAGAGGGGGAGAGGGTGGGAGGACAAGTCAGATGCGTTCGCGCCTCATCTGACATTCTGAGCCTCCTCTCCCATCCCTTCCCATGGCGCTGATTCTCCATCATCCACGGACGCGTGTCATAGCCGACCTGGGACTCCCACAGGAAGACCATTTCTTGGTATGCGGAATCAGCAAAAGGGGAGCTGCGTGCAAAGGAGGAGAACTTGGCGGCTGAGCAGGAGGATGAGCGGGAAGAAAAGGATGAGAAAGAGCAGCAGAAAGCACCAACGACTAAGCGGAAGGATTCTACAGAAAGGAAGGAACAGGGGAAGGCGGAGGAGGGAAAAAGGGGGGTGACAACGATGAAGAAAGTTTCGGATTCAGCAAAGGGTCCCGCGTTGGGGCGAGACGAACAGCATAAACAGGAATTGGATTCGAAGGAGCGAGAGGAACAGGAGGACCAGGGGAAGGCGGAGGAGGGGAAATAAGGGGGTTGGAAACCACAATGAAGCAAGATGCGGATCTAGAAATGTGGCCCGCGTTGGAGCGAGAGCGCCGTTCTGAACGACGGGAGCAAGGCGCCGATCCGAGAATGAGGCCCGCGCTGCAGCAGACGCGCCTCTTTAAAATCTTGTGTGTACAGAAACAGCACGCGGATGGGGCGGGGGATCTTCCAGATAACTTCAGGGGAGGAGGGAGAGGAGAGCAGTGTATTGTTTGATTGTGGAGGCGGGCAGGAGGAGGAGGAGGAGGAGGAGGTGGAGAAAGAGGGTGAGGAGGAGGAGGAGGACGAGGAGGAGGAGAAGGAGGAGGGGGGCGGAAGAAGGGGAGGAGGAGGGGGGGGGGGGCGGGAAACGTTGCCCTGCCGTTTCCTCCCGGCACTTCCTCCTCGAGCAACGAGACTGCGCGGCGCGGGGAGGCGTCCGGCGCCCTGGTGGACGCGGCGGTGCAGTGGCTTGGGGAGGCGAGCCGGACGCCAGCAAACCGAAGGGGGCCCTCTTGCCGGCTGCACGCGGGACTCCGATGCAGTCACAGAGGGATGGTCAGGGGATCGCACGTCTTTCGGGGGCCCCCAAACGGGGTGGTGACCACACCGTGTGGTGAGTCGGTGGGGATTCGGGGTCACCGCACGGTTTTGGGACTCGAGTCCTTCTTTGAGGATGTCTCGGGCGACAGGGGCCTCCAGGGTCCCAAGACCGTGCGGTGACGGACCGTGCGGTGAGGTCTCTTGGGGTTCCGAGGTCACCGCACGGTCTGTCACCACACGGTTTTGGGATCCCCAAGTCTTCCTCCATCAGTGTCCCTTCTAAATAACCCGTCCTTGTAGCAAACCAGGGATGTCTGCAGGGCGGGCCAGGCATTTCGCTTGAAGCGTCTGCACTACTGATTACCCTCAAGGCAGAAACAGTTTCAAGGGTTTCTGATGCTTGGCGTCGCAGAAACGGTGCTCTTGCACGATGTAAGATGCCAGGGCGCAGCAGTAACGTTTCCTCGCGGTGCTGAAGTCCCAGAAATTGCGTTCTGGCACGGTTGGGAATCGTCAGGACGCAAACAGTAATGATGATTCGCGGCGTTGCAGCCACAGAATTGGTATTCTGGCGCAGGTTGGGATTTTCATACGATTTTATTGCAATGGGGCACATCCTTCAGTGAAATGAATGTTTGTAGGGACCTATGAAGAGGGAAATTGGAGGGAGGGTTTATTGCAACATTGTAGATGAGTTTGGGTTTTACTCTGGTCCTCATCCGCCTCCCCCTCCCGCACAATCCTCCCTTCCTCTCCTCCTCCCCCCATCCCTCCCTTCCTCCCTCCTGCTTCCACCTTCTCCGCCTCTTCTTCTTCACCCACCCCGTCCTCCCTTCCTGCCCCCTCCTCCTCCTCCTCCTCCTCCTCCTCCTCCTCCTCCTCCTCCTCCTCCAGCTGCCGCCACGGCTTGCAGGGCCGCGCAGCACACTAGGCCATGAAATCACATCTTATGGTCTGTTACTCCCTCCCGACTGGGGTCCTCGGCCAGTGCCATGGGATCTCGAATTCTCTCTGCCATGGTCTACAACCCTCTCCATGCGTGTGGTGACCGTCTCAGTGACCTTATCTCGGAATTGGGTGTTTTCGATCTGGTGAGTCTTCCAGGCACACAGCTTCGTGAGCACGATCGTGAAGGGTATCGAATACAGCGTCTAGGGGAGCGACTGGCTGTCCGTGCGGGGTGGAGGGCAGGAGGTTTCGTGACACGTGCTGCGGGATGCTCACTGCTGCTGCCCAAGGCCTGGACCCAACGTAACATACGTAAAATACTTGTGCCCCCTGGACCTCTACAGGGTCGAGGTTTATCTGTCGAGTTATCCAGAGGTGGTTTCTTGTACATGGTGATCGTTCTCTATTTTCCCCCGAGGCCCTCCAGAGCTTCGCAGGTCAAACAGTATATTACGTGCTGCGGAAAAATGAAGGAGTGGGTTCGTGAGTGTCTTCGGGGATTACCAGCTAGAGTTCATCCTATTCTCATGGGGGACATCAATGACGGTTTGGGCACAAGTAAGATCTCAGGGGACTGGGTTGATATTGCTACTCCTAGTGTTGGGCGTGCCAGCAGTAAAGAACATCATAGAGGAGGGGCTGGTGAGTGCTTTCGGGAAATCATGCACGAGTTCGGTTTATTTTCTCCGACGACAATCCGTTCGTTTTGTCCGACATATTATGGCTCCAAAGGGGGGACGTCGATGATTGGTCATGTCGCCCTACCACTCTACTGGACCGGACAAATAACGTGTGCCAGCCCAATACATCGACTGGGCAGGCGATTACAATTAATCAAATGTGCTGAACCACGGGACCACATACCTGTACTTGTGAAGGTGAGGGTGCCACATGTATCAGTCGCTCACCACCGTGCTGCTGAACTCAGGCCTGACGGCAGGCCAATGGAGCAGGTACAGTGGGATCGTGACAGGCTAATGCAGGCTATCCGAGGCGGTCCGCTGAGGGAGCAGTTCATGCGTAGTGTGGAGCCCTTGCTTGAGCAGGAGTGGCCGTATATTGAAAATGCATGTTTTGATCCTAATATTGTGCTCGACAGGTTGGATCAAATTCTACGAACCGCTGGTGCTGCTGTATTCAAAAAGGGGCCCGCTGCAGGATCGACTCGATCGGCTCTCGCTCAACGACGGCTGGATCTTCTGGCTAGACGACGGGATCTTCGGTCAAAGTTGGGAGAGGGACTGTCGAGTGAGGAGTATGTTGCATGTTGCGAAGAACTTGCTCGATTGACGAAGCAGTGTAAGGCCCTATACAAAGCTGAGCAGCAACGACGGCGTGAACAACTTGTTGAGGAGATTTGGGCCTCGTGGCGAAGTCGTGACCTTGCCAGTGTGAACAGACTTTCACTTCGACTTGCAGGAGGGCGATATGGTAAAGCCAGACGTGACTTCAGTCGTCTGGATGGTATGCTTCCAACTGGTGATGAATGGTTCTCTCACTTATCTCAGGCCGGCTGTGATGGCGGGCTTCAAGCATCTAGAGTGTGTTGGGATGACATGGCTGCATTGCAGCAGCTGTGGAAACGGCCTGCTCCTACGCATGAGCAGTTTGATGAGCGAATGCAGCAAGCGTGGGCAAAGTCAATTATTGATATGGAGCAGATTGAACGGTATTTCAAGCGTGCGTCCAAGCGGCGCAGTGTTCCTGGATGGTCTTTACCTTTAGAATTGTGGCTTCTCTCCATTCGTACGACTGCTGAGCGCGAGAGTAACCAACATGATTCTCGTCCAGGACTGGGTACTGACCGCACGATCACTGATGGAGTTTACTGTCGAAAGTGGTTGCATAACATATTTTGTATGACTCGTTTCTGGGGTATCGTTCCAGGTTTGTGGAACGTCAGCAAGTGCTTTGCTCTGCCTAAGGCAGCTGCGCCTGGACCGAAAGGAAAAAGGGTAGTGCACGGACTTGATCCTATGGGAAAAGGGTTCTTCGAGGGCCTGATGCGCATCGGACCGAAATATACCAACTCTGACTGCGACCACGGTTTCTTGAGGGCTCGTCGTCGTGAGGATGCGATCGTTGCCAACATGTGTTTCTCATGGCGTCTATCTCAGGCGGGGTACTCTTGGGTCGACTCTTTGAAAGACCTCACCAACGCCTTCGCGTCGTCAAAGTGGGAGGCGCTCGATCAGGCCACTCGCACCCTCGTGCAGCCCAGGGACTTGAATCTTTGTCGCCAGCGTTTTCGACGCGCAGGATGTGTTTTGCCTGCTGCCGACGGTCCCCTTTTTCTTCGGCCAGGGTGTGGGTCCCTCCAGGGCGATCCGTATGCAGTTCGATCGTTCGTCCGCGTCTTCCGCCCAACTGTCGATAGATGGCTAGAACGCTGTGCGGAGGCCGACCCCGAGAGCGAGCAGCTCATGTGGTCCAGGATCCCCGAGGCCATGATCCCAGGGGCGCCCCAGGTGTACTTAGGTCTCCAGAAGTTCGCTGATGATCTCCTGAAGAAGCTGATTGTAGGCCCCCCCTTCAACTTAGATCGGTTCCTGAAGGCTCTCAGAGACAACGACGAGTTTTTGGATCAGGAGCTTGACAAGATAGGTTTGAAGAGGAATAAGAGTAAGCAGGAGGCGCTGTTAAGGGTCCCCCAGAGCTCCAAGCGAGGTGCAGCTGCGGCCCTCAGAGGACTTGAGACGCGTGTGACGGACGAGGTGCGGTACCTGGGGCCGTATCTGACTCCCACCCAGAGCTTCAGCGTCGAGCTCGTGAAACGGATCAAAGCCATGAAAGGTGCGTTTTACAGGATGGGGCAGTTCTGGTTCCAGAAGGGGGTGCCGTACAGGTGGAAGATGCGTTTTACTGTGTCACGTAGTCAACACAGCGCTTGCTGGTGTAGAAGCTTTTGTGCCCACGGCGTCCCAGTTGCAGACTCTGGAACTTGCTGTCGGAGGTCTTGCCAGAAAAGCAATGCGTGGCGAGGCTAGCTGGGAGGAGGAGGACGGCCGGAGAAGATGTCTTTCCACTCGTGAGGTGTACCAGTGGTGGCGCCTCTCTCCTCTTGCCAGTGAACTCCAGGTCCGTCGCCTGCGCTGGCTGCAGGCATGTGTGCGACGTCCAGGATCGCACAAGCAGATGCTGGCGGCTATCTTTGGCTCTCTCCCGTTTGAGCATACCGAGGTTTTCACGGAGAATGGGTCTCTTGGGATTAACGCGAACCCGTGGGCCCTGCAGTTCCAGGGGGACCTTGAGGAGCTTGTCAAGTGGAGTGATGATGCGGCCTCGTGTTGGGCCCGTGCTGAAGGTTCGATTCTAGGACTTTTCGACTTCGAGGTCTCTCAGGACTTCGTGAAGATTGATGCTCGGGTTCTTCGTAGTCGACATTTCGATGTTGAAGTTGCTCCCCCTGGCCTCCAACCAGCAGATCCCGAGGCTCTCGAAGAAGGTGCGTTATGTGTCTCTGTGGATTTCAGGTGCCCGTGGACTGATGAGAATGGCCCCTGTGGGGCTTCGCTCACTTCGAGGAAGGGGCTGGTCAACCACCTGCGCCTGGTCCACAACTCGTCCAAGCTGTCTCAAGTTTTGACGGTTACGAACCAGTGTGTCTATTGCAAGGAAGTCTTCTGGGACCGAAAAAGTGCACAAAAACACCTTCACGGAGCCATTAACTTCGGGCGATGCTTGGCCAACAAGGCTTCCACGCTGAGGCCGCTGATTGAGCCTGAGTCCGTCATCGTATGTGGGGTCTGCGGTTCAAGCTGTACGTCCTTGTCTCTCTACAACGAACACGCCTGTACCCACTTGCCCGTCCAGCCTCGCATACAGCCTTTGAAGGATGCCAGGCGACGATTGGGACGTCGAGATGTTCGGCGAGGAGCGGCCAATGTGGGCCATGACGGTGTGCGGCGTGAAGCGCCCTGCCCCATCCGAAGGCGGAGATCGCTCGAAGCAGGCCAACGTAGGCTCAGGCTCTCAGGAAGTCGCCCAGAC